AAATTCCTCTGTTGGTCTGTTTGACTTGGAGACCAAGGAAGAAGCTTAATTCACGATTCATACTCATTTGAAATCTACTGACCATTAACTTAGCAAAGTCAACAACCATTGATGAATTAGTGGATCCGAAAACGATGTCGTCAACATAAATTTGGACAAGAATGAAATGTTTTCCATTTGATCTTCGGAACATAGTAGGATCAAGAATACCTATTTGGAAACCTAAGCTCTTGAGAAAGTCGGTGAGGGTCTCGTACCATGCGCGAGGAGCTTGCTTGAGGCCATAAACTGCTTTCAGGAGTTTGTAGCAGTAATTCGGATATGAGAGATTAACAAAACCGGGAGGCTGTTGGAGATAAACTTCGTTATCAAGTTCAAAATTTAGAAAAACACTTTTAACATCCATTTGGTAAACCTTAAAGCCTTTTTGAGAAACATCAGCAAGAAAGATTCTGATGGCTTCAAGATGAGCAACAGGGCAAAGGTCCCGTCGTAGTCAAGCCCTTTGATTTGTGTGAATCCTTTGGCCACCAATCTTGCTTTATTCCTAATAATGACTCCAACAAGTGGGTGATCTGGAGGAGGAGGGACGAGAGTCCACACTTCATTTCTTTCAAACCCTGCTAATTCTTCAAGCATGGCTATAATCTAATCAACATGTTTTAATGCTTCTTGATGGATTTGGGTTCAACCAATGATATAAATGTTGAAAAATGACATTCAGTTTGTATACTTGTAGTAGAACGAGTTTGAACACAAGCATTTGGATTTCCGATTACTTGATTTTGAGTCCAGATATGAAGTCTCGGTAGCTCTTTGAGCAGCAGACAATCTGATATCTAAAATGAGGTTGTGTGCTCCCCCTGAATAGTTTGAACTTGAGGATGATACTCCTCCTGAACTTCTGAACCGGAGAGGTTGACATCATCATCAGGTGGGAAGTCAAATAAATTTACATCATCATCGTTGTTGATTAGATTGGAATCAAATTCAACAGCTGCATCAAGGAATCCATCCACATTTGATTCAAGGGAGGGTTGACCATTCTCCCCCCTCAACATGAGAAGGTTAAAATGATTCATAATCAAATGGAGGAAATATGGGTGATGGACCAGAAACATTTTGAGAAACCGGGGCTTCGGTTGATAAGGTTTTCCTTGTTCGAGATTCCGAATCAAGAGTTGTTTCTGAGTGTCCGAAGAGAATTTCAAAGTCAACTTCGTGGATTAGTTGAATGTTTGGACATTCCGGTGGAAGAGCATCAAACTCCATGATGTGAATGGTAACATGAGTAGGACCAGAATTTCAAACGAAATTATCATCAAAGGTTACATCAAAGCTTTCCTAAATGACTTGAGTATGACGATTTAGTACTCGATAAGCCTTTGAATTTACAGAATAACCAAGAAAGATGGCTTCATCAACTTTGGGTTGGAACTTGGTAAGTTGATCACGATTGTTTTTATGAAGCATCGACATCCAAAAACATGAAGAAATGAAATGCTTGGCTTCTGACCATTCATGGCTTCGTACGACATCATGTTGAGGCATCGATTAATGATACTTCGGTTCTAAGTGAAACAAGCTATTGACACAACTTTGGCACAGATATATAGTGGTAGATTGGCAAAGTTAAACATGGATCGAGCTTCTTCGACCAACGTTTTGTTGCGTCTTTCGACCATACCATTCTACTGTGGAGTGTAAGGAGCATAGAAGTTGTGATCAATTCCATTTTTGGTGAGGAATTTTTCAATGGTGCCATTGGTGAGTTTTGAGCCATTATCACTTCGGATTCGTCTTACAAGAAGTTTGACGAGAACTTCTATTCCTTTGATGAATTTGATGAGTTCAGAGGTCGTTTCAGACTTTAGCCTAAGGAAGAAAACCCAGGTGAACCTTGTAAAATCATCAACAATCACAATAATGTATTTCTTGTGGTGAAGACTCTCTATAGTTGTGGGTCTACATAGACCAATGTGTAAAAGTCCCAAAGGTTCCGAGATTGATTTTTCAATGATGACAAGCTGACCCTTCTTTGATTGCTTTCCACACTCACACGCAACACACAAATGATCATTTTCAAACTTGAGGAGTGGCAGTCCTCTTACCATTTCACCGGATACAAGATTATTCATGTACTGAAAATTCAGACGAGCAAGCCTTCGGTGCCATAACCAACTAATGTTAGGAACATATTTGGAGAGAAGGCATAACTAAGGTTTGCTAATAATCATGTTAATGTCGAGTGGATACATGTTTTTGATGTGATTGATGGATTTTTTAGGCTCTGAGTTAGGTTTTGGGACAAAACTATGGGCTTTGGACTTGGGTTGTGACTTCCAGACAACATTGTGTTTCTTAGAGTTATTTTGAGAATTCTTTGGAAACAGACAGAAGGTCATGGTTTTCTCATCTATCCAATAATCATACTCAATGACATAGTGGTTCAGAACGAACTTCTTCGGACATGTGGCCTCCGGAGCAGTGGGTATCACTGTCTCGTCCGGAGTCAAATTATTTTTTTACTTTCCAAATAAGTTTTTGTTTTGAAGATTTTTGTGAAATTGGTTTCTTTGAAAATATTTCTTTGTTTGTTGGTACATTTGATTTTGAAATGGATTGAGGTTTGAAAATTGTACCATCTGCTTTGTCCATAAAAACTGATGAAACATTTCGAAAAGAGTCACTTTGGATTGTTTAAGTACTTGAAGCTGACATTTCAGGAGTATGATTGACAACTTTCTTAAGTTTTGACTGACTAGGAGGATTGGATTGTCTTTGGAGAATCTTAATAGGAGAAAATGTGTTATGATTATGAGAAGAATATTTTCTACTGCTTCTAGGTGCATTCCTTTTGGAGTTCTCAAGAAACCTAGAATTTTGTCTTGACCTAATGTAACGTCCGCAAATTCGGGCTAGTCAATGTAGAGACAATAAGCATCAAAAATGAGCTTTTGATGGAATATTATTTAGAAGGAGTAATTTTAACGAGTATATGTTACCAGGGTTCCATACATATAAAGAACGCCGAAATCCGAGTTATAACGTAGAGATTATGGCCAGTCAAAGTTTCGCGATAAAACCGGTACGACGTTGTGAGACGTAAATAGTGAATTTACGATATAGGACTTTTTAGCCTTAGAAATCTAAACCAAAGTTGTATAATATGTTAAACCGCGAGCGTACATAAAAAGAACACCTAAATCTAACTTCGTATGAGGAAGTTATAATTTTTCTAAGATTTGGCTTAGCAGTGCACAACCCGGAACTCGAATTTTAGATCGAGCGGTTTTCGGCCAACACGGCCTAAATGAGAGTTGAAGATCTCATTAATGGGAGCTCAACGGTAAAAAGACAAATGAAAACGAAGTCCGTATGTAGAAGTTATGAATTTTACGCGGTCAATTAATAGTATAACTTTCTCTTACTATTAAATTTAATATCGGTCAAGAATTAGCCAACAAAGTCAAAAGTAAAGTTGTATATCTTATTTTTACCTACGTGTGGATATAAAGAACGTCGAAAACGGAGCTCGATCGTATATGAAAGTTATGAATTTTTAAAAATCGGTTGTTTTACCCCCTGTGTTCGGCACCACATGTCAGCACCAGGCGAAGCCTTGGAGCCTACGCAACACCACGATGTGGAGAGAGGCACCACGACGTGGTGACACTCTAGGAGGCCTATAAATAGAGGTGCCAGGGCTGCCTCATTCCTCACACCTTCAATCCTTTCTTTCTCTCTGTAGAAACTCTCTCTAAGCCTCCCTAACCCCCCCCCCCCCCAAAGCCTATGGTAACTCCCTAGCACGAGGCGGAAGCCCTGGAGCACCCGATGAATCTAAAAAGAAGAGCCTTCGGCTCAGAAACTTTGCTTCGGCGGAGCACTGTTTTGAGAAAAACCCGTTGTAAGTGAGCTACGCCTACCATACTTTAAATATAGCTTATATATAAATATAATATCGTTATTATGAACCTATAAAAAATATTTATCAGTGATTTAAAGTCGTTATACTGATTGATCTACTTACAGGAATGATGTCTAGGCTGTGATTTAGTGACGCGTTTAATAGTGGGATTTCCAAACAGTATACTTCGTATACCAAACGGACCCTACCTGGTTGTTCCTTACTTTATAGATCATGAAGTAGACTTTGAGTTAATGATGAATCTAGACTAATAATTAGTCGCAATAAAGATTAGACTAAAACTTAGTGAAAATAATGCTAGGTTAATTTCATCGAACGAAAATAGAATCGTTAAAAGCGAAGTGCTGCCCGAGTTTGGAATCATCACTTTAACAAGTGAGTGCATAGTTACTTTCATCTTACACATCGATATGAAGTATTGAATATAAATTACATGCTATGTGTGCATATTATTTGTATACTTGCTATCTATGTTGGATTAACGATTTTATATATGTGTTATATGATTTAAACTGTATACGGATTTTATATCTACAAATTATGTTGGGTAAAACATGGGTAGATGAAATATCACTACTAGAATATAGACCTTTAATGACACGCAAACCATGACACACAATGATTTACGATACGTAAAAGTGTGTGTTCTAGAAGTAATGTCATCTCTTCTAAAATTTAAAGGAATTAGGGCACGTATTCTTGCGTGCCCTTAAAATTAATGTCAGAACAAAAAAAATAAAAACACGGAGGGCACTCAACATAAAAGGCGTGTCGTCTATTCATGTCGCTTTATAAAATTTTCATCAAACGCGCGTTCTAATAGATAAGGGGGGAAATCAAATAAAAAAAATTAGAAAACCCCGCCTCGACAATTTAGGGTTCATTCCATCCTTCTTTCTTTCACGCTGCTTCTATATCCACACTTCATCTCCCAACTACGATTTTTCTAATAAGAAAAATAGAGAAATCCTAAAGCAAATTCCACCCTCCCCTTCTCTCAATTTTCTTCAAAAGTATTAGAATCAAAATTTTTCTGCAAAAGCCCTTCTTTTTCACCTTATTCTACACTATGGAACAAGTGAAGCAAGGTCATCCGTCAATGATGCCAAAGGAAACTCCACCCTCCTCTTCTCTCAATTTCTCCGGGCTTAGGGTTCATGAAAGCTCTTGAATGCTCCTAAAAGACTGCAAAGTGATTTAGGGTTCGTTTCATCCTCTATATATCTCTATTACGCTTGAACCCTAATCTCAGACACCAATGTCTTTTTTTTTCTTGCGAATTCGTTCTCATTCCTTCTTGCCTAATCTGATTTATTGGGTTTAAGTAAAGGTGCAAAGGTGATTCCGCTTTTTGCGGGTGGGCTTGAATTCTCGGGTCCCATCGAGAAGTATCTGATTGACCCGATCACAAAGAAGTTGTTTGTGAACTCGGTGGTGTCGCTGAATGGGTTTGCATTGGTGGGAGGACCCTCAAAGCAAGATCATCCAAGGGCAATCGAGGTACTGATGAAGCTCGATGTGCCATACACTGTGGCTTTGCCTCTTGTGTTCCAGACAACAGAGGAATGGCTTAACAACACTTTGGTTCTTCACCCGATTCAGGTGGCTTTGCGGGCTGCTCTTCCTAAACTTGATGGAGGAATGGAGCTGATTTTTTTCTCAAGAAGAGACCCAAGAACCGGTAAATCCCATGCCCTTTACAAGTGGGTTGAGCAGCTCTGCACCAGAGCAGTCAGATGGGCACGAATGAAGAAGTAAACAAAGGTACTTATTTTTGCCATATGGTGCTTTTTTTTGAATTAAAAAAAATAAGCAGAGAACTGAGGAAAAACTAAGAATGAATTCCAGTGAATTTTCAATATATTTAAGTAACTGCACCAGTTCGATTGCAACTTAAAAGGCACACAGACTGTTTATGTAGTTTTTTTTCATCTTTTCATTAGGTTTTTTCTTCTTTAATTTTTCATTGTGGTATCTTCTTTTCCTTCTCTTTTTAATTGTAAGTCCATGCCATGTTTACACCTTTTGTTACTCTTTCTGCAGAGGTTGGCAGCTGGTGAGTGGTTCACTGCTCGATAACTATTAAAACCATGATTGTTCCTTTGTTTTTCTGAATTCATCCATATTTATGTGTTTTGGGATTTGATTGCGTCATTTTCTTTCAACAAATTTATTGAAACTTGACAGTTGGTAGTTTCTCAATTTGCTTCAAATCTTCATCTTCATCTTATACTTATTCTTGGGTTTCAGATATCCTAAAACAGGTATGGGACTTATCTGATCAAGACAATGACATCATGCTTTCATTGAATGAATTTTGTATTGCTCTCTTCCTCATGGAGAGACACACGGAAGGTCACTCTCTTCCAAAGGCACTTCCATCTGACATTTTGTTTGAGAAGACACCAGTGACAACAGTAGTGATACTCCTAGTGTTGAGGTGGGTTGACATTTTTTTTGTTTGTAAGCTAAGAGATTATGATTTATATTTTGTGTTAACGGTTTATTTGTCCGAAGTGCAGGCTAATGAAGACTTTTCTTATCCATCACGAGCAAAAGAAGAAGGTTTAGTGAAGGAAAGTGACAAGTGAAATAAGCAAGTGAGAGCTCCTTGTTTTTTTTTAATTGAACATTAGTGTACACCATTATCGGTATATGAAGTTCTTTTCATTTGTTGCATGTTAGTTCCCAGCATTTTTTTTACCTTTTCTTGTTATGTATTTTGTAGCACCCCAACTTGTATGACATCTGTTAAGAGGAGGGGATCAGCAGGTGTGGTGGAATCCTTGATACTTTTGAAATCACATGACAATATGCATGCTCCATTTACTCAGGTTGATCTAATTTTCACATGCTATCTTTCTTTTTTTATTTTTTTAATCTCCACAATGAATAAATTGATAGTTTTTATATATTTATTTAAATCATAGGATCCACCAATTATGACAGAAGACATGCATGAAAAAAGGCTCCATGCATTTGAAGTCTTGGGTGATTCTTTTGCAAGTTGTCACATCACATATAGGATATTATATAAAATAAATTTCTTCGCTGAAAATTGTGTATAATTTTTGTCAGAGCTTCTTCGGGCAGTTAGAGAAGGACATCTTATCTTCAGGTGCTACATAAAATGGTGTTTTTATCTCTGATGACTCCGCTAACTTTTTGTTGTTTGATGATTTTATGGACCCAAATAGAGAAGAAGAAAAGGTACATTTTTTTATTTTTCCACATTTACCCTCCATGATCAATGAAACTAACATCATCCAATATCTATACAGACACTTCATTATCTAGAAACAGTAAGATCAGATCAATTACTGGAGCAAATGGTGTGTACTGCTTTCAGAGCTACAGCTGACACTCTTAACCAGACTAGCATTAGCAGTGAACAAGCTACTGGGTGATATGGAAATAATCCAAGATGTAAAACGGATCTGTATTGTATTCTAAAATGTGGAGAAGCTGCTAACACTTGGCAGTGGCAGTGGGAATCAATGGAGTCACCAACAGGGGGAGATTGAGACTCATAGGATTCTTCTAAGTGATAAAATTCAATGTTAGTAGGATAAATGAATTAAATGCTAGATTTTAAAGATGGCATTATGTAATCTCTCTAGGTTTAAGAGTCTGTGACAAGAAGCTGTAATTGGCAGCTAGAAAGCAAAGTTGTTGCTTATTAATTAATAGTTAATATCATCTAGTTTATCCACTTATCCTACACTTCTTATGTTCTTATTGGTCATGGAGGAGGTATGATGCAAGTATCCTGTCCATATAGTTGTTTGTATGTCCCTTCACACTCTCTGTAGTTGCTTTATGTTCTCCTGAACTTTTTATTCTTCTTAATTCTTTTCACAGGGTGATCATAATTTTTGAGGAATAATACCTTTGGATAGATCGAAGGACGAAGAAGAATGAAGTTGTGGGGATCTTCAGTGATTGAAGGTAAACGGACGGGGTTTGCTTGAACCTCACAGGTTGCATTCTTTTTTTTTTTGTGTCGACCAATATCATTAATGAATACTAGGATGTTTGGGTGCTTGAGTTTACTGGGAAAAGAAAACATTGAAAATTAAAAGAATTGTGTTTAGTTTGCTTCATTTGACAGGGAAGAAGGAGTACAATCGGGGTTGTGAAATTGATGGGAAAGAAGAAAAGAAACCGAAGGCGTTGCAGCCCTTGATGGTTAGCTGATGAATAAGAAGGGAACAGAAGGAGTACAGTGCTTTCCTTACCATAATGTGAACCCTGTAAGGGCGCCCTTCTTTTTCCTATTTTTCTGACCAGGGACGAAGAAGAAGAATAAGAACGAAATTCCATCGATTTCTTTTTAAATCTCAGAGGTTCTGATGGTTTCTGTAATTTAAGGTATTGATTTCTCTCATTAATTAAACCTAAATGTAGGAAAAAATCAGATAAATTAAACCATTAACCACCACCACAACACCACCATCTCCACCGCTTCCTTAATCACATAACTCTTCTTTTATTTCAACTTTTTCTGCTTCATCTTTCCACCCATGAAAATATCTATTGTTTGTATGTTAGAATTTGTTTTTTGCTTTATGTTTCCTATGGTTTGGATATGGTCCCTTTAAGAGTATGCACATGCTTAACAGTTAACATACAAGGGTAATTTTGTCATTTTGTCCCTCTATTTCTTGTTTTAACATTGAGGAAAAATGAAACGATTCTCATTATGGTTAAACACTAGCAATGATGAATAATCTTGAATGGTTCACTTCTAAACTACTAACATATGAATTGAAATAAATAAATGGATAAAATGAGTGAGATTTGATCTTGAAGGTGAACAACTCCTTTTAGATTTTTTTGTTTATGTTATTAAACTTTTTTTTTATATATAAAAACAACTCCACATCAAAATTTCAATATTACTAAGTAAGATTATTGAAAAATAATTGATCCGGATATATATCCAATATATCTTTGCTGGATCGTGGTACACATATTGATCGCACTCTTTCTGCTCTCTTGACCTGTAAAAATCAAATCTCAGGATTCAGCTAGTACTGATGGGTGTGTCATCCGACTTCCTTAAAATCACTGCTAAGTTTTGACTTATGGCCTTATGATGTTGTCATCATTGGCCCTCAAATTAATGGCCCTCAAATCTTTCAATGTCTGCAACAACCCAATTCATTAATCTTCATTCAATTATATTTTTCATAAATTACCCAAGGGCAAAACAGTCTTTAATATTAGATACCTGATATATGTAATAGGCAGGATCAGAAGCACTTTCCAGGTGGACATCAGAATAGTTGAAGGGAGTTTGATTCCTCGTGATCACGTTTCTGTTAATGGCACGTAACCTGTTGATGTTAGGATTGGACCTCGTCCACCTGATCAGGTAATATATATATATATATATATATATATATATATATATATATATATATATATATATATATATATATATGTTGACTTGAATATGGTTGGTGGATCAAGGAGACAATCATAGAAAAAACGAAGTACAACAGAGAAGAACGTTAGTTAAAGTGTTCTACAACAATACTTTTTTGGGAGCCTTAAGGATGCTACTAAAGCCATTGGAGGTAATATATATATATATATATATATATATATATATATATATATATATATATATATATATATATATAAGAAAACTAGTGATAAGAAAACTAATATTATAACCCTGAAAAATAAAAATAAATTTGAAGAATTTATGTAAGCACCTGTGGTAACTAGCGAAAATAAAACTAGCTAGTGATAAGAAAACTAATATTTTATCCCAGAAAAATAAAAATAAATAGAGATATAAGGTCATAATTAGATCTTATTTAAAGATATGTGAGTATGTGTAAGTGTGTAAGTGTGTGCAAGTGTTTGTGTATATTTTTGGACTGATTATTCTATTAGTATAGGTTTTGTCTATTAACTTTAGGCATATTTCATCCCTTCTATCTTATGCATCAAGGCTAAACCAAGGTATTGACTAAAATACCCCATATGTTAAATTTGACCAAAATACCTCTCTTTATGACTTAATGTCTAATCTTGTGAAGTTATGTTTATGTCTTTGACTTAATATCTATTTCAGCCATTACATCTCATATACATCATGGCTAAATCAAGGTTCTAACCAAAATACCCGGTATGTTAATTTTTTTTTTCTGTATTACCAATAAGTGCTAATTTTTTTGTAATAGTGTTAACTCATCATATAAGGTGTTTGTATGGAAATTATCTTATGGTGTGCCCAATTTTTCTTACCAATAAATGCTAACTTTTTGTAATAGTGTTAACTCATCATGTTTATATGAATCTAATGGTTGCATGATTCAAATTTGCAGGTCCTGGGGTGGCATATCCATCTTACAATACAAAACAAAACCACAATAGAGGTTAGAATAATGTTTTAGTGTGTAAATGCATGCAGATCAATGTTGTGTTACATTACATGATATCTTTGTTGTTGTAACCTGTTTACAATTGGCTTTCTTCCACGTGATGAAATAGTAACAGTTAGGAGAGGGTATTTATTTTTATTTTTGAAAATTTGATCATCAACAAGAACAAGGCTGTCTTGTAAGTGTTATTTCATCAAATTGTAGAAAATAGCAACGTACTTGAAATATGGAGCTTGAAACTTAAAAAAGCTTACAAGTTTTGATTGGTGGATTGATTCTTTTTGAGGCTTATTCTGCATGAAGTGGTTATCAGGATATATCATACTTGATAAGGTTTGTTCAAAGTTTTATAGGATTAAAGTACACTAAAAAATGTCAATGCCTAACTTTTTGGGATTTTTCAGTTAAAATTGTGCAGAAGCATTTCTTATGCTGCAGTTGCTGCTCATGCAGATCAGACTAGCAGGAGGAAATTAGCACTTTTCCAGGTTCCTTTGTTACTAGGCATTGGGGAAGAAGATACAGCCCTGACTAAGGCAACTGAAAGTGGCGATACTGATCTTGTTTATCTTGTTCTCTTTCATATATGGTAGAAGGTATTTATTGTTTTCTTATTTGTTTAATTATAAAATAATGGTAAAATTAAGTTCTCAAATTATTGGCTTGTATAGAGACCAGCATTGGAATTATTTGGAATGATACAAGCTAGACCTATTGTGCGTGATCTATTCATACGGGACTCAAAATATCATATTTTGGCATGGCTAGAAGCTTTGGAGGAAACGAGACTCAAGCAAAAGTAAACACACAGAGAGTTGTTGGCACATAGTAAGCTAGATGATGCAGTTGTATATAAACGAGTTCATTTTTTATAACATTCACTCACTTTTGGAATAATTAATTGTATTTGACATATTAGTGAAATGAATTATCTTTGTTATTTATGGTATTTTATTTTGTATTATGAGATTTTTAATGTATTATTTAATTTGAAAATTAGTAACTCTATAAATAATATTTTTTTTAAACATTTAAAGTTATGATACGCGGAAATGTGTGTCATCTTTATTTATGACATGGCCTTTCTTAACAGGGGCTTTCTTGATACGCATTGCGTTTCATTAACACGTGCGTCGTAAGGTTACGACACGCGAATGCGTGTCGTCTTCCTTTATGACAGGGCCTTCCTTGATATGCAATGCGTGTCGTAAATGCGCGTCGTAAATGAGCATTGTAAATGCGCGTCGTCTATAGACGACGTGCAAAAGCACTTCGTCTCTCTTTATGATAGGGCCTTCCTTGACGCGCATTTGCGCGTCGTCTGAACCTTTTACGACGCGTAATGAGCGTCGTAAAAGGCTGTTTTTCTAGTAGTGTATGAGTTGGATGATGAGATGAGAGGTGATATAGAAAATGAGATAAGGGCGAGAGGAGAACAATTAGAGAAGTCTTTTTACTAAGCGTTGGACCTGTCGTCTAGCACAGTATGGATGACAACCATAGACTATTCTAGAAAGTTCAGTGGAACGCTAGTAGGCTCGCAACCTATAGGTGTTGTAAACGATGTGTTCACACGGTGTACTCTAAACCCTGGCAACTATGCAACTTAGTGTCTGTTGTATAAACCCTGGTGACTATGAGACTTAGTGCCTAAACCTTGGCGACTATGCGACTTAGTGCCTGTTGAGTAAACCCTGGCAACGATGGATTTCGTGGCGATTCCTTAGGATGATCCTTAGGAATGAATGAACGAGGAATAGCTAATTCTTAGGGTAGATCCTTAAGAGTAAAAAAGATAATGGGATGGGTAATTAGGTTGATTGTTTGATATTTAAACATAATAATTATATTATCGTGGGTTGAAAACCCTATGTACTCACCCGGTTTCCCAACCTGACCACTCAATTTATTTGTATCACAGGTGTCGATATGAAGTTACATTACATTGAGAGATTAAGGAGATATAAATCACTAGTGTTATGAATGTAATGAATAAAATGAATAAAATACATTTCTTCGGAGATGCTTTGATAATGTATTTATCATGTTTTTCTGGGAACAAATTCGCAACTCTTTTTTTTAAAAGGTTACTCTGGTTTTCAAAATAAAGCATAAACAAATCGGTCTTTTATGGCCGTGAAAATGTGGATGTAACACCTAACTTCCTTCTTAAGAGCATTTTTGGCTTCATGCTTAGGACTTGTGACATCATTTATGTTCAAGGAAGGTTTCTTCCTTTGGTCAGATGTTGACTTGGATGATTGACCACTTGAACGATTATTAAACTTAGGCTTGATGGGTACCAAAGATGTTTTGGAAGTTAAAAAGGAATTTGATTCACAAGAATCAGTAGAGACGTTGCTTGAGATTTCAATGTTATAATCTAAGGATGGCCATGCAAACTCATAAGTAACTGTTTATGTTGTTATTGGAATTATTTCCTCAACAACACAGTTGTTAGGAGGATTGTGTTTTGGAACATGATCTATGCAATTTGAAACACTATAGTGGAATTCCGTGGTTTGATTCAGGTCTAGGTTTTTCAGAGGTGGAAGAGGCATGGAATCAGGACACTTGACAACAATTGGTTTAAATTCAGGAATCAGGGATGCAAATCTATCAGAGGTCTCAGGAAGGGGTGACAAGGGAGAGACAGGGGTATCCGAGTGTTGATAGTTCAAAACATATTTATTTGTATCTGGGTTAGATAAGATTCACAAAGAGACAAATAAAAATTATTATCAGTAATCATGGATTTTACCTGCTGAACGATGCTTCGACCTGGTGGATCATTAGTGGCCATGTAGCAGTAGTTTGGTTCAACAACCTCATCGTCATCTTCTGACCCAGAGGACCAATAGCCTTCATCACATTCAACTATTTGTCTAGCCGTTAGACACATGTTTCTTCCAGTAACCATATCATCATTATCTCCAGATGAGCAATATCCTTCCACATCTCTTAAGACATTTGTAACAAATGCCTTTTCACTTTCATCCATTTCTTGAGCTTTTTGTGCATAGTAAGCAGAATCCTTGACTTTGGTTTTTAGTGGGGCTTCATCCAGACAATCTTTTGCAAAATGATTTGCATGACCACATTTATGACACACGATTTTTGGTTTGTCTGATTTCGAAATCTGTTGAGTTTCCTGGTTGGAATTTGGTTTAAAGATGTTTGGTTTGTAAGCTGGTGGATTTTCCAGAGTGGATTGAGGTTCCGGAGCTGAGTATGGTTGAGGATTGTTTTTGTGAGGAGCATGAAAATGGTTATGACACGGTTTGTAAGATGGATTAAAAGGACATTTATATTTCATGGAAAGTAGTGTAAACTCTTGTTAGAAACAAGGTTCGGAGTCCATAGCTTCTGAATAAGGATTACCAACAAGATAACTAGTAGTGGGCAAGATAGGTAAGGAGGATTGAACAGGTGGAACAACGGATTTAAAGGGATCAGAGGTGGATGTGTTCGGAATAGGTGGATCAAAGGATCTGACAGGAGTAAGAGGACCTCCACAGAGTTTTCTCAAGGTCTGAGCAATGTTTGATTCATGACCTTGAAGTTCATCAAATAGTTGGTAGATCTTCAGCTTCTTTAGAGATCCATTGCTTTGAAGACAAGATTTCACGTTTCCCTATCCCTTACTGAGGCTGTTTATGAATTTGAGATTGTACTCCAAGGGAGTTCGAACAATCCCATGAGCAGTCATGTTGTTGACCATGATTTGGTACCAGCTGGAGGCTGAGGCAACTGATTCACCAGGAGTTGTTGTGAAAGTGGCAAACTTGTTGACAATAGAGGTTAGACGCTTGTCTTTCATATTTTCTGAACTTAATATGTTCAAAGAGAGATGGTGGAATACCAAACACCATTTCAGAAAAAACAACTTGATCAAGATGCATTTTTTCAATATCATCAGCAGTAAGAGGTGTTGGAAGATTTTCTTCTTGACCCATGAGTTGAGCAACAACATCTCTAACGATTGTTCTAACTGGAACATGAGGACCTTCTTTGACGGATCTCCAGATAGATTCAACTTTCTCTTTACCCAGTAAAAACCTTTCCATTCTAACTTTCCAATGATCATATTCTTCAACAACTAACAGTGGGCCACGAGTAGGCCAACCCATGCTATTTGCTATTTGCATTGAATACATTTGATGAGTGTTAGAAGCAGCTATTGAAGTTAAGATATCTTCAAGCGAAAGTGGTATATAGAAGAACTTTTATCCTGAACACAAAAATGGTTGAAATACGAAGGTAATTTCAAACAAGCTATAATCTAATTTTATGGATTCAAAGGACAACCACTCAAGCTCTGATACTAATTATGAAATCAAGATGATCTGATTCGCAGGGACAAGGTTTGAAAACTCAAACCTTGAGTTAATGCTTAAGATCAATGTATGTGTTGGATTAGTGTCTAAGTCCATAACTATTTTGGTATGTACTTGACCCGATGGTGCATGGTCCTTTTGGGTTGCCTTCACCAAAGCAACTTGATTGGAGAAATAAATAAAGAGAGAGAGGTTATTATGATTTATTAATATGTTATAAGAATAATATATTAAAGGAGAAATCATATTTGTTTAATTAATATTGGTCAATAATTAATTAGGAATTAATTTTGTGATCAAGTGTAATTAATTAAACTAGAGGGGCTGATTTGTAATTATGTGATAGTTACAAAATAAGGTAAGGATTATCTTAAATATAGGGTGAACGAATTTAAGGAGATAATGCCTTAGAATTCGACTAGGATAAGGGTTTCTAAGACTTATCTTATGGTTACTTGGTGGGCAAGCAACTAGATAAGGATAAGACTAAAACCCTAATCTTACACCTATATAAACCCCTAAGGCTCATGAATTCGTGTATCCTTCCCAAGAAGTCCTAAGGACGAATTCCTACCTCTCTCCTCTCCTTTATACCTTCTCCATTTGCTCTTGGTGTTTGTAAGCCATTAGAGGAGTGACACTTGTGACTCTAAGCATTCCAAAGTCAATTCAAGGAGGAATTAGGATTGTTATTGCTACATAACAATCAAGGTAATCTTAAACCTAATTATATGTTAATATCGATTTCCATATGCTAGAATTAGGGTTTATAGTCTTGGATTCAAAGCATGTACAATAGAGAAACCTAGATCCAAGCATTAGGGTTTGTATGAGCACATAGGATGTCTTATGACCAAAACCCATCAGTGGTATCAGAGCCTAGGATGGTTTCAATTGTATTGATGCATTGTATATCTAAAAAATTCGATTTTTGGTGTTCTAGAGGCTGGACTCGCCGAGTCCATAGCTGAACTCGCCGAGTCCAGGGTGACTCGACGAGTCCAGGCTTGACTCGACGAGTCAACTCGTCAGATAGTGCTTATCTCGGGATTTCTTGCTGTTTTTGCATATGGATAGTTACCTTATCATGTTAGATCAATATTAATCCGATTATATGATATATTTGACTATATTTTTGATCTAAATGAAGATATTTATCAATTAATAAGATAATTGTTTCCTTATAAGATAATTGATTAATTATTTTGAGTAAATTGATAAATTGTTTTGCAAGAAATCATTAAATAAATCAAATA